TTGGTATTTTATTGAGCTCTCTCCCTGTGTTACTGAATCTCTGTGGTGTTTGTAGCACTTTGGTTACGGGTTTCAGTCCACTCCTACTTGATTATTGGACTTGTGTTTTTAGGGAGAGCTGGTTGGCTGGACCCTGGGGAGAACCTCATCTCCTGAAATCCTAAATACATCAGCCCAGCAGTGGTGCAGCAGAGCTCAGATGTAATTGCATTTTCTTTACTGCTCCTCACATGATCCCTGTTTATGAGAAAACAACACTTCCCCAGAACATGATCCCTCTGCTCAGGCATCTCCTCCTCATCTCACAGCCCAAACTCCATTTCACCCATATACTGAGAGCACATCCCTAAGTCATCTCAGGGGTGGAGACTGAATTTATGCAGTTCTAAATAACAATTATTTTCCTCAGACATTTGAATCAGATTTGGGGCAACAGAACTGGAGGGAGGAAGGTGTCCATGGCTTTCCCAGACAGAATTCTGTTGACTCACACCCCTTGGTTCATCTCTGAGTGCTGCCCATCCCTCCAGCTTTTTCAAATACTGCCAGTAGTCCATGACAGCAGCCACTGTTCTCTTCCAGCCTGTGCTTAAAGGACCTCAGCTTTTCCTTTCTCCAGTGTTCCTCCTCTTCTCCAACCCTAGCTGGGATGTCTCCATATGTAGCTCACAAGGGGCACCTGAGCCCTCCCACAGAAAAGCCAGCAGAGGGTTTCTGTGTTGCCAGGAGGAGCTCCCTTGGTGTTCCTCAGTCTAGAGAATCCCTGCACTGGGGCACCCGAGGTGCTGCCAGCCCAGCTCTCTGCCTGAGATGGGCACATCCACAACCTGGGGGAAAACGTGTAGAGTCAGTAAAAGTGTGCAGTGATGTTGGCACAGGTGCTCAGGGCAGTGCTGGAGTCCCCATCCCTGGAACTGTGCAAAAACCACGTGGATATCACACTTGAGGACATGGTTTGGTGGTGAACATGGTGGTGCTGCTGGGTTGGGGGTTGAATTTGGGGATTTTAAAGGTCTTTCCCAACCTCAACAATTCTGTCATTCTCTATTTTTCTCTGGGACTTTAAGCTCAGCTCCACTCTGTGATTCTCTCAACTCACCAAACACCCTGAGGCAGTAAATTGGCAGTTTAGGTATGTGTCATATGAAAATATCCTTGCACTTGTTCTTTCAAAGCTTGCAGTCTGCTCTGTCCACCCCTCCACTCTGTGTTTCACCCCCTCCCTCCCCCCTGAGCTCTACTCTCTCCAAGCAGCAGGTGTGTATCCATTTAGTGTCTCCTTTTGGGGGAGTTAAACCCTTTTGGGGACAGAGGAGTGAGAACTGGATGCTGTTTTCAGCCCCCCCATGAATTTATGGAGTGGCAAAATAATGTTTGCAGTTTTATTCTCTGTTCCTTTGCAGGCATTTGGTTGGTTTTGCATTGTTTGATTGTTTTTGCATTGAACTGTTATGTGCAGGAAATAACTGTGAGGACTTAGAGGGCTCTTCCCTGGGTGATAATAGTTAATTCTGAACCCATCAGAGTTGTTGTTTTTCTGAGTGCATTACTTTGCATCTATCACCACTGGATTTCTTCTGAAATGTCACTGCCACTCACTTAGAATGATGGCACCTCTTGCAGTTCTTCACCACCAGGTTTTATTTTGAGGACTTGAAATAACTTTGTCTTATGACTAATTTTGTCAGCTCATTAATCATTTACTCTTTCAGGTGGTTTTTGAATATGGTGAGAAGTTAAAGCTCCATCAGTAGCTCCCCATCCCTGTTACCTGGGTTTTGACTGGTTGGTGGCTTATGAGACCTTCCCTTTTACCTGCACCAACAGTGGGAACTGGAAGAGAAATAGCTCATACTGATGAAAATCCAAGCTTGGAGACTCATTGGCCCCATGGAGGCAACTCCTCCTCTGAGCAGGCAATGCTTGACACAAATGTGTGACCTGCCTGCTGGAATTCACCTCTCCAGCACCTGCAAAAGTGTTCCCTGGGGACAACTCACTGTGTCTGTGATGTAACTCAGCCCCAAACACACCATCACTCACTGCCCAAGGGTCGGGGGGCAGAGAACTGGGGGGAAAAAGTGAGGAAACTGTTGGGTTGAGATACAGCCAGTTTAAAAGGGAAAGCAAAAGTCCCACAAGCAAAACAAAGAATTCACTCCCCTCTTCCCATGGGCTCAGCCATCCCAGGACTGCCCTGGGCTCCCTCCCACCTGCTGGGGGCTGGGGAAGGCAAACCCCATCCACCTGAATATCCCCCTCCTCCTTCCCCAGCTCTGGGTGCTGAGTGTGATTCCCCATGGGCTGGGCCATCCCTGGGAGCAGTTGGGCTCCCCTGTCCCACCTGTGCCCCCCCAGCTCCCTGTGCCCCCCGGGCTGGTCCTGGCAGGGCTGTGTGAGAAGCAGAGCAGCCCTTGGCTGTGTCACAGGGACTGAACCATCCCAGTGTGCCCAGCACTGCTCCAGCACAGCCCCAAACACAGCCCAGACCCGCTGGGGGGGAACATCAGCTCTGCCCCAGCCCAGCCCACAAGCTCAGATTTTGATATCCTCAGTTCCATTATCTAAAATGGGTTGGAATTTCAGATTCCTGGTATTCTCCCACTCATCCCGTTTGTGTGTAAGTCCTGCTTTATTGGTGCCTGGTGCACCCTGGGGAGTCCTGCAGACTTTCCACATCTGGGATTTTCCCAAGTGGAGACCATCAGCTCCTATAACCTGTTATTATTCATTCACCTTATCAATTTTTCCAAAAAACTCTTCATCTGCTGCTTCTGTTTAAGAGTCTTTTCCAACAACTGAGGGATTGGAGTATCTGTTAAATGAGGAGAGGCTGGGAGAGCTGGGATTATTTAACCTCCAAAAGCTGGAGTTTGGCTCAGAGGGATTTAAATCCGTCATGACAGGGGAAGTGCAGGAGATGGAGTTGGACAAAGACATTGGACTCAAACTGAGATACAGATTTCCCTTAAACTCTTTTTCTTTTCTTTTCTTTTCTTTTCTTTTCTTTTCTTTTCTTTTCTTTTCTTTTCTTTTCTTTTCTTTTCTTTTCTTTTCTTTTCTTTTCTTTCCTTTCCTTTCCTTTCCTTTCCTTTCCTTTCCTTTCCTTTTCTTCTTTTTCCTTTCCTTTCCTTTCCTTTCCTTTCCTTTCCTTTCCTTTCCTTTCCTTTCCTTTCCTTTCCTTTCCTTTCCTTTCCTTTCCTTTCCTTTCCTTTCCTTTCCTTTCCTTTCCTTTCCTTTCCTTTCC